TCGCTGGCCATTGGACGGTCACTCACAATGGCTCATGGCAGCTCTCGCAAGCTGCCGGCCGCTCACACTCGCTGCCGGTCACTCACGGTAGCTCACGGCAGCCCACTGCAGCTCCACTGCAGGCTACGCCGTCCCCAGCAACTCACGGCAGCCCAGCTCCAGGTTGAGCTGTTGTTCACCATCTTAGCTGTAGATGAGGGTGCAGCGTCACTGGCCCTCATGTGTGGGATCCGAACCGGGGCCCTGCTTCCCAGAGCTGGCGTCCCAAGCCAACTCCTAATGAACGCGCCACTTGGCCGGGCCCCTTAGTAGTTTTTCAATATTACAGATATCACTACAAAAATTTTGTGCATAAAGATTTTTCTATAATGTGAATTCTTTCCTCTGAACATGTTTTTGGAATTGGACATATTGAATCACAGACTAAAAACACACTTTTATACTCTTGATGGGAAGGATATTATCATTTATACTGCCATCAGCAATGTATTAAAATGCTAGACTCACTGCATATTCACAAGCACTACGTATTATAATATTTAAATATATTTGTTAATATAGTAGCATAACATTTTTCCTCTTATTAATTTGTTCTTTAACTACCAGTGAAAATCAACATTTTCTCATATATTTACTTGTTTTGCTTTTTCTTGAGAAATTTTAGTTTATATTCATTGCTTATTAATCTAAAAGATTAGAAGAATTTTTTCCTTTGTTGAATACAATAACAGGTCTATATGAATATTTTAAGTAATAATAAACTAGCCCAGTATTGTCTGTATTTGCTGCAAATATTTCCCCTTTTCTATTGGTTTCCTTTTAATTTTAGTTATACATTTGTGACATATAGAATTTTAATTTTTATGCAATGAAATCTAACAATTTTCCTTGTGAATTCTTCTATCATTTCTAAGCTTAACTGATTATTCTCCATTCAGTAGTTTGAAAATTATACTTTCTTTGCGATTTTCCCATGATTTAATGATTTATATTTAACTTACTAATCTCATAAAACTTTAATTTGTTTACAATGATAATAGCTAATATTTACTGAATGTTTACTATATGACAGGTGCTATTCCAGGTCTTCTACATATGTAAATTTATTTAATCCTCACAACTACCTTGTATGGGTTAGGTATAATCAGTATCCCAATTTCACAGGAGGATACTAAGGTAATTCAGTCAGATCACACAGGTAGTTCACCTGGTAGTACCTGGGTATTAAGCAGCACAGTCTGACTCTAGAACCATAAGCCTGACTCCATAGCCACTACATTATAGTGATAATCAAGTTATCTCAGTGGCATTTTTTTTTCTCTGTTTTTTTTTTTTTTAAGATTTTTTTATTGGGGAATTGGGGGGATGGGAACATTGCTGGGGAATTGGGGGAAGGGGAACAGACAAGTTGCTGTCGTTNCTATTTACAGATCATTACATTTCATACCTCCTAAGAGCTTTTAGACACGATGGTGATCCAAGAGTAACATTTGTTGTCCCATGACTGCAGCAGGGTTGAAACAGCTTACTTATCTGATTTCCTGAATTGACACGCGCACCTCCCCAACCCCCTCCTTTCTTCCTTCACTCTCTTAGGTGATTAGCCTCATGATATCAGGTCGAAGATGGCTATCAAATAATGAAAAAAATTCTTCAAGCTGGGCTCTCCAGTGAGAAATAAATAAAGCTCTCACTACTTTCTAGCTAGACAAGAGGTATTTTGTATACTAAATGAAAATGGAGATGGGAGGGGTTATTTTTTTTTTTACAAGGAAATCTCTTAATTTCAACAATCCAAACTTTTAATTTTTTGCCAAAATGTCTATTTACCTTCCATGGCAGGCATCACCAAAGCTGTTTCTCAAACAGGTCTTAGATATGGCAATATATAGAAAAATTAAGATAGGAAAAATGAATATTTTATTGTGATTAGCTTATCTTACCTTTGATGAGGTACAAGAATATTATTGATCCCTCCGAGTTTAACATTTATCTTTAGGCACAGGTTTGAAAGAGTTTGAGGGGATGTTTTTATTACATTCTTGACTTGAACACACTGTGTAGCCATACCCAAAAGTGTATCTCCAACACGTTTCACCTCCGCTATGGAACAAATGTAAATACCTCTAGTTAGAAAAAAGGTAGAACTTTACTGAAAATTAAGCTACTGTGCTTCTTCCCTTGAAATACATCATTATATTACAGGATACCAAAAATTACACCAATGCTAACACAGTTCTGTTAAAATTTAAAGTATACTGCTTTGAAGATTAGCTTAAGTATTCAGTGATAATTTTTCCAGTTGTTTTTTTCTTTGTATACGAAAGTAAATTTTTATCATAAAAATAGTATAACACAATAACTGAAAAACCATAAAGAGAAAAATATCATACATAATCCCTTGTTAGCATTTTATTGTACTCTCTTCCAGTAATTTTCTCATTTATATTATTTTAATGCAGTTATAATCCTGGCATACTTACAGCTTTCAATCCTATTTCAAACCTTTAATTTAAAAATACAGAGGTATTACAGTGTAAAGAATAAAAGGCCCCTGTTCCTTTCTACCTCTCTGCCATTATAACTTTCATAAAGAGTTCAGTGTATATAACTTATATATATAAAACACATGGAAAACATTTAAAAATCAAAGTTGAGAACATACTATACATTCTATTTTGCAACTTGTCATTTTCACTTAATAATATAGTTATGTTCTGAATCTCAATATATAGATGCTCTTATTTTTTATAACAACAGCAGTTACTCTGTTTTTAAATGCCATAAGGTATCTAACTAGTCATATACTGATAGATTTTTAGCTTGTTACGGTTTTTATTATTTCAAACGATGCTGTGAATAATACCCTTGTATGTTTATTTTTGTTTGGTTGTGTAATTATAGCTTTAGGATAAATTTCTACAAGTAGAATTATGAGGTCAAAGATGTATGTATTTAACAATTTTATAGATAATGACAAGTTGCTCTCCTTAAAGCTTTATTCATTCATTCAACAGATATTTAGTGGGCCAGCTGAGTGGCGCATTGGTTAAGAGCTGGCTTGGAATGCCAGAGGGCCCCGGTTCGGATCCCACATATGAGGGCCAGTGATACTGCCCTCTACAGCTAAGATGCTGAACAATAGCTCAACTTGGAGATGGGCTGCCATGAGTCGCCGGCGACGGCGTAGGCTGCAACCCCTGTTACAGTGGGTTGCCATGGGCTACTGTGTGTAGCCCCAGCCAGCGTGAGCAGCCAGCAGCCGCAGTGAGCAGCCATCCAGAAGCTGGCAACTGATCTGCCTCGCCTGGGAAGAGCACAATGATGGTGCCAACTTGGGCCAGTGAAGCAACATCCTCCACAACTAGACTGAAGAACGAAACAACAGCAACTTGTCTGTTCCCCTTCTCCCAATTCCCCAAAAAAAATCTTAAAAAAACCCCCCAAAAAACAAATATTTAATGAGCACCTAATATATGCAAGTACTGTGCAAGGCTCTGGATATGCAATGGTGAGTCAATAGAGACATTACTTCTGCCCTCACAGAGCTTATAGTGTAGTCAGAGAAATAGGCTTTAATTAAATAACCTCTCAAATTTAACATAACAGCTGTGAGGAAAGGTACAAGATGCTTTGACACAATAAAAGTGAGAGAGTTAGACCTTATCAAGGAGTCAGGCAAAGCTTTCCCAAGGAAGGGGTGTCTGAACTCAAATTCACAAGGATGCACATTTGCTTGGTGAAGGGTAGAAAGTAGGTTATGAGAAGCGTTACAGGTAGAAGGACGAGGATAAACAAAGAGTTCCTGTGGGAAAAAAGCACAAAGTGGGATGAATCCCCAAGAGGTAGGAAGACATGGATTTGCATATGCAAATCCTTGGAAGATCAGCTTAAATATCAATTTTATCAATTGAATAATGAAAAACTACTGAAGTGGGGGTGATAGGAAAGGGGATAAAAATCAGATTTATATTTTAAAAAGACGTTGGTTATAGCTCCAACATTTAAAAGGCTTGCAAGTCATTACTCTTATCCTCACAAGATAAAGCTGAACAAATTGAAAACCAACATCTTCTCTTGGATCCATCAGAGAACTGAATTCACAGAACAAACTACCACCCCAAAACAGGTGAACATAGAGAATCACACCCAAGGCCAGAAGTTGATGAAGCCAGAAATTGGTAGGAACAAATAAACAGTAACTCCTGTAACTCGACAGAACAAAACAAAGAATCCAATTAAAAAGTGGCCAAAGGGCTTGAATAGGCATTTCTCTGAAGAAGATAATATGAATGGCCAATAAGCACATGAAAAGATGTTCCACATTACTAATCATTAGGGAAATGCAAACTAAAACCATGACATACCACTTCATATCCATTAGGATGGTTATTATAAAAAGAAAAAAAGAAAATAACAAATGTTGGTGAGAATATAGAGAAATTAGAACACTTGTGCACAGATGGCGGGAATGTAAAATGGTGCATCTGCTGTGAAAAACAGTATGGCAATTACTAAAAAAAATGAAACACAGAATTATCATATGATCCAGGATTTTACTACTGGGGATATACCGAAAAAAAGTGAAAGAAAGGACTGGAACAAACAGCTGGATATCCATGTTCAAAGCAGCATTATTCACAATAGCCCAAAGGTGGAAGTAATCCAAGTGTCCATTGATGAATAGATAAACACAATGTGGTATACACATGCAATAGAATATTATTCAGCTTTTTCTTAAGATTTTCTTCCCCCCAAAATTGGGGAATTGGGGGAGGGGAACAGACAAGTTGTCCTTTTGTTCTTCAGTCTAGTTGTGGAGGATGTCGCTTCACTGGCCTATGTTGGTATTGTGATCGTTGCACTCTTCCCAGGTGAGGTAGATCGGTCGCTGGCCATTGGACGGTCACTCACAATGGCTCATGGCAGCTCTCGCAAGCTGCCGGCCGCTCACACTCGCTGCCGG